CCCCCTAATAGCGATGGCGAGCGATGGCCTCCAGCTTAAGACCGATGGCCTCCAACCAACCTACAGTAATAGCAATGGCCTCCAACTTATGAGCGATGGCCTCCAACCTAATAGCAATGCAATGGCCTCCAACCTAAGAGCAATGGTCTCGATGGCCTCCAACCTAAGAGCGATGTCTTTATATTCAACTGCATGTGGTCTCCAGCCTCCCCCAGGCTTTATGTAAAACCATATTCTAACTGCATATAAATAAAAACGTATTCTAACTGTCAGTCCGCCATAGTAGGTAGATGTCGTCACTGGATGTGTGTAAACTGGTTTGTGTAAGTCAAATGCATTTTTTTGATTTTGTATGTGGATAAACAATTAAACAATTATAGAACTGCAAAAGAATGCAGTGAACATCCTGGCTCGACAAATTTGATTTCAAATGTGCGTACAGCTGTGTATCACTTTGGAAGCTGCGGCTTCATGTTTTTGTTGCTTTTGTTTTTGCGACACCAAACTTTGGAAAAAAACATGCAAAAAGACAAGTTGTGGCTCCACGAGTTAGCAAGATGGCCATGAATCTATGCTCTGCAGTCTTGACACAGACACACTTGAGAAAGAACCCCAAGGAGCAAGTGTTCTGTGTGGATCTCGGTGTGCATTAGCCCTTTAGAGTTAGTTAATGCAGACGACCTCAAACCTGAGAAATGGCCCTGTGCAAACGGAACGGCAATGAGTCAAAAACACACAATAACTGCTGTGATTGCAACCTCTTCAGATTTTGTCCCAAGAACCTCATTCGGATGTGTATGCACATTCATCAGATTCTGTGCAATTTTTTACAATAATGCTATTGGCTTTTGGCAGGTACTCAGCTCTTCTCTCTTATTGTGACCAGGGAACGGGCAAGTGCAGACCTTGGTAGGCGTTGGTAGACCTTCCATCTTTTTGATCGTATTCATCTCATGTTCTATTGTCCGGGAATCGAAAGCTGTCACTGTCCTGTGTGGAGGTACTGGAGTCTTGCCCCGGCGAACGTTGTTGGGCACCTCAGTCAGGAAGCTGCTGGTTTAAAGTCTACGGTGGAGGGAAGCCGATTGAGTGAACCCTTTGGCGATGTTCGCGGTAGTTCGCCAACATGATTTTGATGCTGCAGGCATGTAGAATGCAAAAACTTTGCAGGTGACCAAAGCACCCCTGTTTCGCTTGCTTGTACCTCAGTTCTTCTCGTTTCAAAGCCTGCATTGTCGGAAATGTGCACCTTCCGCATTCCATGTTGACTAAGTGTGCATAATAGTTGCTTGGTGGCTGGGAATGATCACATTATTCTTAGTACAGCAAGGCAGACATAATATCACTCCCAGAGAGTCTGTTATCTGAGGAGCCGCTGCCAGCAGCAACTGCCTTCCTCTATAGATGTCTCCGCAGTCACTTGGGTCAAATCTTGAGAATTCGAATGATTTGCCGAAAATGCCATGCCAATGGGCATATGTATCAAAAAAAAACAGTTGTGCTTGGGTTCTAGCACTTAAGATCAGCTTCCGGGGTGATTCAGGGCATTGGTGCCTTCTTCACCAAAAGACCTGCGCCTGTTGCTGAGGTGCGGCGGAAGTTCATCCGCCTCAGCCAGGAGAGGTGGGTGGAAGTCGAAGTCTCTCAAACAACATGGATCATGCCATCTCTGAAACCTGATATTTTTGTTCCTTGTCCTGCTTTTTGAATGTTTGTCCTTAGGTTACATATGAGTACATCAGTACAGACGATACCCAAAGATTTGCTTATCCTAAACATGGGAGTTCATTCTGCCAATGACGAGTGCTTGTATTTCATTGTGGTTTCAAACGAATCTGTTTTTGAGCTTTCTGGGTTGATCGAGCATCTACGAGGAACAATTTCATGAAGAGGAAGCTGAGCCTGTGGAGGAGCGAGCACGGACAAGGCAAAGTTCTTTTGATTTTATGGGGTTCAGGAATGAGGTTGTCCAGTACCGGCTGATACTAGAATCAGAAGCTTTTGAGCTTGCTTGAGGCAGAGATTTGAGACAGTCGAGGAGTTTAGCATTCTCTTCCAAGCCAATGACAAGGTCAGAGAATGCTTGAAATTGGTCTCTTTCCTTTTTCAATCTCCACCATTTGGCATTGTTCTGTCTTTTCTTTAAACTTTTTTGCTTAAGGATATGATATATATATATATATACTTGAGATTGTTTTCTTCGGCTTGTTTTGCAACCCTTGCAGAGGACCTCGAGCAGTCTTCCAAGAGTGCTGAAGAAGTGTCCTTGTGGGCTATGCACGAGCAGGCAGCGTTGTAGCGTTGGGATTCTCCTTTCCCTGAATCAAGATCAATCTCAATAATTTGACATTGTCTTCATTCTCCTCACATTTTATGCTGCTATACTTTCTTGTGGGTTCTGGATCTGTTGCTGAGCAGGCACTAGTCGATGCGATGGAGGCAAGACTTCCACGGTAGCCGACGACGTCGTTAGGAGAAACCAACCACGGAGAAAGGCCATTGATGGCCATTCGACGACCTAGAAGTCTTGGATGCCCTGAAGCTGCAATTCTGTAGACATCCAAAGACACATCCCAGACACATCCAGCTTTGTTTTGATTTGTTTGGACACCTACAGTATGTTTGAAGGAATTGAAGATTGGTGTGCGCATCCAGGATGGAACTATTTTTTGGCAGCCCCGCGTGACCGGGGACCTTGCGTGGAAGCGACTGAGGTAGGTCTGTGGGAGTAGGTGCCATGCATTTCTTTGCCAGCTGTCACATTTGTCATTTTCACTTCTCTCCAGTTTTGCTGCGCCAAAATGTCTTTCTCTAGTACCAAGAAGCTACTAGGGGCTCCTGGCATCGCTGCTTGGAGCAAGGATGCTACTACTAGCGGCTCCTGGCCTTACTACTAGGAGCAAGAAGCTACTAGGAGCTTTTTCGCGCTATTCCGAAGCATATTTTCAGGGACCAGGACCCAGAGAGCTTGGAACGCCCGGCGACCTGAGGGCAATGATATTGTGCTCTGATAACTCACAGGCGATAAGGGAAAACCTACACCATCCAAGCCGTTCGGTTTCCTACTGTGGGATTCTTGAAGAACCTCATGCAACCTTCCAATTGTTCAAGTCGATGTTTTCTTGATCCCGGTGAAAAGGTTAGAATGAGTTCAATGCATGCAGAGCAAAGTGCAAGACAAGATGGAGGATCAAGGGAACACAGTTGAAATTCTGCAGAACATCCAGACCAGATGTGGGTGCGATGTTTGATGTTTGATGGCAGCCTAAGGCTTGGAACGTCAGGAGTCTCACCACGGAAGGAAGAGGAACTTTGCAGCTTTGCTGTGTTCATACAAAGAAAATACACTCCATGAAGCCACATCATACACTGAAGTCACAGCAAGGGCCAGCTCACGAGGCTTACTCCATGAATGTGGATCAGGGCTGTGATAGAACTTTCAAGTCTTAGAGGTTTGCTTTTCATTATTTGCGGTCGTCATACTTATGAGTTGAAAGGACGCTTGACTTCTTTGGGAGATGTACTGGAACGGCTTTGCAGGAGAGGCAGAAGAAAGATGGGGCATTTGGGCAAGAAGAGATAGGACCCAAGCCGGGCCGACTTCATGAGGTCTGACTGTGAGTGATGATCTTGTGGGCTTGGTAGGGTCTGATATCCTTCTAAGGACTTGGATAATTCTTCTATAGGCACATACACAGCAAAGTACGATCAGCGATTGGGGACATGAGGCGGTCCAAAAAGCTGAGTGAAACTGCTCTCCAATTTTTTTTTGTTTCTTCAAACTCTTATCCTTAGTAGCGGTGGGATAGCTCAATAAATATAACGGGTTTCGATGGACCAATGCCACAGGTTATTGATCAATAATTTCAGCAGGCAGCCACTTGTAGAGTGCAGACATTGTCCTGGCTGCAGGACCATTGGTCGCAAGATGTGGAGTGGAGAAGAGATCGAAAACTGGACACATGTGCGAGCCAGTGCTGCACGTGCAAACCCATGCCAGGTGATCCCTGCTTCTTCAGCTTTAGCTTAGATCTTTAGATCAACGTGTTGGATGATTGCTTCCAGCTTTAAGCTTTGCAACGCTCCTGTCTATTTCAGAGGCCTCATGATTATGCCGTCTTCGTATCCGTTTTTGACATCCTGCTGTGGGCGGTCCATGTCTTAGATTCGTGATGCGCTTGTTCAGATTCTTCAACTGACGAAACCAACTTTTTTGCTCAAATGTCAAATCCATTGTACTATACAGGAAAGCTTTTGGTACGCTTTGCAGTTTATAGCAAGTTGCAACAGAGTTGGGATGAAGCAAGCATTTAATTTGCTTTTTTCTTCTTGGTCAATGACAATTGATATCAAGCTGCCTTCAAGGTTTTCATGTCTGCAGCTGCTTGGCAAGTTTGTGGGCTTGGACGGACAGGGCTTAGATCCGGCTTGGACTAAGCGGGAGTATATACTTTCCAGAGTTAAAACGCATTAACTCCTGATTCCTGATTTAATTCTTTTCAGCTCTGGTATGCTCGCAGGGTCGTTCGAGGAATCAAATCCAGAGTTAATTCTTTTTATTTCTGACATGGTTGCTTGAGGAATTGACTCCAGGGTGAATTCTTTTCATGGGTCCTTTTCATTTCTGACATGGTTGCTTGAGGAATTGACTCCAAGGTTAACTCTTTTCATGGATCCTTTTCATTTCTGGCACGGTTGCTTGAGGAATTGACTCCAGGGTTAATTCTTTTCACGGATGTTCTGGCACGGTTGCTGGTTTTTTTCTCTAGTTTCCTAGTCTCCCAAGAGGATTCAACAATTAACGGACTTTGAACAAGAATTAGATCCAGAAGTAGATTCTTTTTCTTTGTGTCCCAAACTATAGTCTCTGTGCCTCTCTGGTGTAAACCTGTCTACTTTCCAAGTCTCCCAGAAATTGAAGCAAATTAAGTCCAGAGTCATTTCTTCTTCTCCTTGCCCCAAAGCAATGGTCAATGAAACCACATTGCGGTAGAATTATATACATCCAAAGTTAATTCTTCAGATCACTGCATGTGAGTTAACAAGTTGAACATAATTAACTCTTGATGTATTTTTTTTCCGCAACCAGGGATGGATGGAAAACAATACCCCTGAAATGAATTCCTTCTAACTCCTGAATTCAGTCCCTACCCTAAGCGAGTCCTTGCTTTCCACACATGTGCCTTTCTTGGCTTTGAGGCTGCCATGTTTGCACAGGTGTCATTTTGGTTTGACTTTCACATATCTTTTCTCCACCACCCAGAGGACCCACCAGAATTGAAAAGTACTCACCCAGAGCTGCCTTTCCTCACTAAGGCTGGGAAGATTGGAGGCATTTCAATGGCTTCCTCCTATTTGCTTTGAGAGATGGAGATAGGTTTTGGATGTATTTTTATTTAGGAAACTGGTGTGCACAGATCATATGGCAGTTGTGTGAAGAAGCCTCCGGGTTGAGCTTTAAAGCTGCTTCTTCTTTTTCTTTGCTTCTAGCCTTTTTCCCATGTTCTGAAGCAGTTCAAGCTGGACATGATCCGTTCAGGCGTTGTCCGCTATGGCCTTCCAAAGCGAGGGTTGCTCCGGGCAGCATGCGCTGACCAGCTGGGCACGGAGGCCCCAGCACCAGACACAAACATGGAGGATTTGGAGACCTTAAAAGAGTTTTGTTCGTTTGTGCTCCACAATGCTTTGGGACACATTGGAGGAATGAAGTGAAGCACATGTATGCTTCACTTTGGGCATTGGGTGAGCCAAGTGGTTCAGAGAATGTTGGAAGTTTCTACAAGACATCGTAATTGGTGGCCCGTTCTAGGTGGAACGCAGGCTCCCTAGCATTTTGTGGGGCTGTGCGAAGGTACACTGCTTGCCAGTGTGGGAGCAACGCACGTGCCGGGGCAGACGCAGGCTTGAATTTTAATTTGACATTCATGTCTGATGCTTGCCCCTGGCCCAGCCAAAGAATCTGTGAGGTGCTTCTTAATCAGTCTGTCCTGCCGCTGACAATGCTGCTGTGCAGGTCCCAGAGTGGCCTTTGTTCAGCACTTCAGCAGACCAGAAGATCAATTTAGTTTCTCTTGATTGAACAATTTGACAGCATGTACTGGTGCCTATTTGCCAAGGTTTGGCGGTTCTAGGAAAATCCCTGATCAACTTAAGGCATGATTGAACAGGCTAGGTGCAACAGACTGTGCGTTCCACATGGTGGTTCGCGAGGTCCTTAGTGTTGGGACGCAGATATGGCCTGCAGCACTTCTTGGGTGCAGCTTTGGTCTTGGCAGGCAGAGAAGAGAGATAAAAGCCTGTGACTTGTGACATCAAACAAAACAAAGACACAACTTGTCAGACAAACTCCATAGAATCTAAGGTGTTCAAGACGGCTTGCACTCATGGGATTCCTGTCAACCTGAAGAAAGAACCCTGTCAGCCTGAGCAACGTTTGCCTGAACCTAGCGCCACGTCGACCCAAAAAGGCTTTTGGCAGAAGAAGGAACCATGTCAGCCTAAGGAAGGCTTGGCTGAAAAGGGCACAATGTTGGCCTGAGGAAAGCCTGCATGAAACAGGCTCCATGTCGGCCTGACCACGTCTGCCTGAGCCCAAAGAACGCGCCTTGACAGCCTGAGCATCACTTGCCTGAACAAAACAACGTGTCCATCTAAAGAGACTTGCGACGCGCCACGTGACGTTGGCCTGAGGAAGGGCCGAGCAAGGTTCGCTTGAAGAAGGCAGCTTGCCTGAAGAAGGTGCCGTGTTGGCCAGGAGGGCTGCCTGTAGAAGCATGTCGGTCTGAGTAAGGCTTGCCTGACTGAAGGCACGCGCTGTCAGCCGCAGGTGTCCAGTCATTCCTTTCTTGCTTGAGCAAGGCTTGCCTTCAGTCTTGAACCACAGGCTGACGCTTGTCTGAAGCAGGCATTTTGTGGGCTTCAATGTTGCCCGAAGAAAACAAGCGTGAAGCGTTTGAGTGCAGAAGGTATTCTGTCAGTTTGAACAGGGAGCCGGCAAGGGTGTTACAGCAGCTTGGAGGTTTGAATTCAGGCGCAAGTGCACGGGGATACTTCCACGAGTGGACATTGTCAGTGGACTGATCAAGAACTATCTTATATAACATGTATAATCGTCATCGTGCTATACGTTCCTTGCAAGGGAGCTTCTCTTTGTGTGAAGGCGCAGCTACTGCTGTTCACCACCAGCCTGTCGCACAGGTTGGACTGTTGCGGGCTTGCGTGATGGATGTGTCGATGGGTGGCTGACACATTCGTTTGATAAGCGGGTGTACAAACTTTGCCCGATGAAGGCTGTCATATTACAACCAACCATCCAGCCTCAAAGCAAAACCACACTCCCTGTGGCAGGTCAGCCAAAATGACCTATCGTGGAGAAGTTTAGTCATGTTTTGCATGGCGCAGGCGGGGTGTTGGGTTTGGAAAACGCAAAACGTTTGGCAGCAGTCGTACTTGTAGTTGAACTTTCGGCAAGGTCGCGGTTGCTGCAGCCACATTGATCAAGGAGGCCACATTCAACAATGAATGGATTGTGTTCGGCATATCCAAATTCAATTATTGCAACACGTCGCTGGGTTACAGGTGCTGCTGTCGCGAACCAGCAGGCCTCTTTGCGCCTTAAATTGCCAAGTTGTGTTGTCGTTGTTGTTCGATGTCGCATACTTTCTAAACCTTGTGAAAAACTCTGATGACAGCGGTCCCAACAACATTTGCAAAGGTAGAAGGAGCTGGAAATTCAATTTAAACTTGCATATGTACATTTCCTTGCTCAGTGACGATGTGGCGGAGAGCATGGCTGTTGGTATTGCCATCGCGTGGAGGCAACTGCGCGTAGTGGGTAGTTATGGAGGAGGTCTTCTTGAAGCTCTTCTTGTACCGCAAAGTGCAGGGGTTGTATAGGTGGATCGTATATTTGTTTTGTGTTGTTTTTGTTGACCGAGTGAAAGGCGGAGGATGAATCGCCTAAGGTTTTTGCGCAACCGACTGCCATTCAGGACCTATGGCAGACAGTGGTTTCAGAGCGGATTTGTTATCCTTCCCTCCCGGTCAGAATTCCTAATTTAGTCTGAACTTGCAGTTTTTGCGGTAGCAGAATCGTAAGGAAGTCAGCTGTCTCCACCCAATACTCTCATCCATTTGTATCTGAAGCTGGTGGTGGTGAATATATATATATATATATATTTATCTATGTGTATAGTTGCCTATGAGCTTGTCTGAGTCTCCAGAGCAGATTTCAGATCCTCCAATTTGGTCCAGATCAAGACCGCCAAGTGCCGGCAGTCCACACTCACCATGCCCAGCATAGGCTGAACATAACATAGGTCTCAAGCCTTTCCTCAACTCAACAAGCCGGCTGAATAACTTACATAGCTTTGCTCCAACATACAAAACTCCAATAACAATCCCTGACGAAACCTAACCTTTCAAACTCTAGTTTATCATAATGCCTATCCAGACCGGGCTCCTTGACTGACGAAGCCCACAATCCGACGGAGCTTTTAAAGACTTATTAGACACTGTAGACGATCTTATTGTGTTGAGACAACCAAAATCTTGACCACAACGAATTATGATCATCCGCAACTATGTGTGCCCAGATGCAAGGGCTCTTGACTTTTTGTCGAGGCGTGTGCCAATGGGAGTCTTTTTGGCGCTGTTGATGCCAAGGCATTAATGCTGCCTCTTGGGGTTTAGTGTCAGTGAGCATTGATGAGCACTTACTTTGCTTTGTTGGTCAAGTTCTTGAAGTCGGTTTCGATGTCTAGTGCTTGTTGGTGTTAAATGTGCCTTCTCATTGTTGTTAGGTAGTTTCTCACAAGCCGAAGTTTGCACACCTGGGGTAACGTCTTGCTTGCTGATTTGCGTCAAACTATGATCGCTGACCCCTTGCCAGGCACTTTGGCGAAGGCTTGCAGGGGGCACTGTAAGGACAACCTCATTCTTCAATTCTTTAAAGTCCAATTCGGTCAATTCTGTCGCAACGGCAGTCACACGCACCCAAGTCCTCACAAGTCCTCAGGCCTGGGGAGAGATCTTTGGGATGGACTGCTGTGCTTCTGTGTGGTGGCCAAGTGTGGACTTGCCTCTGGCTGTAGAAGCACTAGTATCCTGCCATACAGTCTGTTCCAAAATAGTGTTTATTCTACCTGACTGACTCGTCATCTACTTAGGTAGGAGCATGTCGATGTCGTTGCTTGGGGAAATCTCCTTGTGTGAGCAAAGACTTAACGCACCTTAGGGGCCACCAAACCTCCAGTCATGATTGCCTCTCTCAGGCGGCATGCAGCCACGAGAAGGCGACACAGGTGAAGAGCTTAATTCAGAGACGCCGCAGAATGAGGATTGTTTGGGTAGATCTGGAAACGGTTCACATTTGGACCCCGGCGAAAATAGGCTTGCAGGAAGTGTGGGTGATGAGTGTTGCTTTTGCACTTTCACATAGCTCCATGTTTTTGATGTTTGTCTCTAGTTTGGGATGCATGCAATGGACCTGTTATGCTATTGGACTGGAGTATCAGAAAGCTTTGCAGATGGCTCACAACTCAAAAGGCTCAAGAAAAGGTGGTCAAGAAGTATCTTTGTGAAAGGCCTTTGTGAGAGGCAGGAACTTTTCGAGAATTCTTTTGACAAGACGATCCAAGGATACCCTTGAACTTGGGAGAGAGGTGCTAAAATGCCGAGGATGTCCATGGGCTCCTCCTACCACTCTCATCAGCGTCATGTCCTCATGACGCCTGAGCATTTGCTAACACTTCTTCAAAACCAGCTTGGACATCCAAAGATTCATCCAGTTGATCCTCAGTGCAGCTACTTTGTTGCTGGTCAGGTCTTGTGAGGTGATCTGAACTTGCTGACATGCACCAGAAGGAATTCTGAGAAGTTGCAGGAAGTATGAGGTTGCATATGAGCATTCACATGGGTGAGGTCATGCTCTATGCCATTCAGACCTTCCTTTGCTTGAGGCCAGCCATGTGGGAGGGCCTTTGCACGCGTGTTGCAACCAGTCTTTTCATTCTCGTATCGTAATTCTGCTGGATCTACTTCGCATCCAAAGCGAACTGCTTAAAGGCTGACACAGCAGAAGGGAGCTACAATTCGTAGCATTGCGGCCGGAAACTCTGAGAGTTGATGGGTGGCCATGAAATTAGAACTTTGAGAATGATGATCATGAATGACATAATGAAATACTGACAGTAATTGCTGTATTTATTTTGCTCCACTTCAGTGTTTGACCAGCCCTAGGCTGTAACAGCAGTGCCGTTGGCACAGCTCCTCTTTAGTCGAGAAGGTTGGAGGGAGCTCCACAAAAACAGACTGTATCGATTGTCGCAACCATCGTTCTATCAACCCACGGGGTCAATTTTTATGTGCTACAATTGTGATGTCTATGAATTTTGGGCTCGCTCGAGTGCAGCCCCAGGCCCCAGGCCATGGATTTGTATTTGTGTATGACCTTCCTGTGAGTTATCGACGGGAGTTCCGCGGGTTTCCATGGAGACCTAAAGTGATGACAGCGGTACAAGACTTGACGAGGACCTTTTCTATTGATGCATCGATTCTTGGAGTCGGCAATGCCGTCCATTTACAGCACTTGGCATATGTTTACACTGTATATACAAGAATATAATACACATGTGTATATATATATAACTGTGGATAGACCGAATTACGACTCTTTTTTGGGTTGCCTTGTCGTAGGTCTTTACAGTGGAACCAAATCGTGTGCCAGGAGATGTGGCAGAGGCGGGGGACTGGCTCAACATGACGACATTTTGCTGTGAGATACATTAAGAATGGGCACAGCTCCATCAATCGAGAAGGATCAGTGAAATCAGCAAAGCAAGGCAAAGCGTGCAAGCAAAGCAGATGTGAACGCGTACGAGCATTGAAGGAAGGACTAGCACGGGGCAAGACACAGGGCTACAGCTGTAGCTGCAGGCTTTTGTTCTCCCCAAGTTTCAGGTCAGGAAGTTAGGATGGTAATTTCACCGGAAAGACAGCGAACATTGAGCAGGCCTTGAGCTGTCGCTCGGTGATCGGGTGACCCGACCTGTTTTAAAGGATGAAGCGGTTATAATCGGTTCCAAAGACTAGGCATTTGGAGCATGTATACCGGGATTTTTGTATGTCAAGACCCTGGTGAAAGCGTGCATGTTAAAATGCATTTTACATGTCAAGACTGCAGCCTAACCCCCCACAAGAACAGTGTTGTTGCATCAAAAAACAATTATATATTTTTACAGAGATTGATGATCAGCTGGTGCAGAGGGATTGTGCTCCCATGGTCTCATGGTGTCAAGACTATGGCTGAACCGACTATTCAAAGCTCCAAAAAGGCCCAACATAGGATTTTAGCATACGGACAAGACAGTGATGAAAGAGAATTCTCTGTGCCTGAACGCCAGTTTGGTGCTAAGACTAAAGCTTAAAACTATCCAAAGCACACTCCGACTCAGCTTTTTCCCCAGAGTCATGGCATGAAGGACTTTTTTAAGATAGTGTTTTCTTAATTGTTAAGACAACAGGCAAACAAACACAATTTGGCCTGCAAAGGACTGTCACATGGGCATGCTAAAGCGAACATGCCAGGTGTCAACTGAACGGTGAAACAGCTGTTTCCTAAATGTCAAGACTATTGGGAAGACCATTGCTGAAACAATGCCGACGGTACTTCGGCCAACGTCAAGACTTTGGAACGCACTATATAAGTTATATCTAAGTCTTTTGATTTTGCCAGTGAACTGTAAGTGAGTACACCCGACACAAATCTAATGAGCGCAACTCTTGAAGGGCGCAGGGTGTGAGGTTGCCTTTAGAATCTGAGCAGAGGGAAGGAAGATTGAGAGACAATCTGTGCATCGGCGAACGCTCATTTCTTTCTGTCACGAATTGTGAGAAAGTCCTACACTTGAACACTTGCCACAGGCACTGCCAGATTTAGACAAGAAATCTCCACTGTCATTCGCATGCTGGAAACCTTCAACTCAAGAAATAAGCCGATTGAAAGAAGTTGCCTTCTTGCATCAAGCAGTTTAGATTTTGCTGGCTTGAAAGCAAATAGATGATTGTCCAGAGCCTCGCAACTGAACTGAATAGAAATATAACAAGTGAGCGTGCTCTGGAACAAGCTGCTAGAGTTACCTAAAGGTAATCCCTGAGCGCCAATCCCTCCAGCCATGGAAGTACCTATGGAGAATTCGCTGCTTCTTTCGGGGACTTCAAAAGAGTCGAAGGCGTCCCCACGTGGCCAGCGCAACAATGCCTGGCATGACGTCTTGGAGATTTGCAAGAAAGGCTTTGCAAACAAAATGAGTGGCGGGCTAAGATATTGCTTTGCTTCTTTTAACTTAGCTCAAGCTCCCCAAACATCTAGGAACCAGATAAATAGAAGCCTGAGCTTTCCTGCGTCCCAGCTACTAGTAGCGGCCTACTTAATGCCCCCCCTCTCAGGCTAATAAAGAGGATGGTTTGCAGAATGACACAGGAACAGCACTTGTGAGATGACGAGGCAGCATGAGTGATGAGATTCTGCAGGAGGTTCGGCTGGAGGTGGATCAAAGCGCTATTTCCTTGCGGAAAGATGTGGCAGAGACTCAGAATGACAAGAGCAAGTTTTGGTCAGCTGCGTCCTTGATATCACATGCCTATACAAGCTGGGCTTTTCACATAGACTAGACTATGAACCTCATGAGGATGATTAAAAAGTCCTTTTGCTGAGGATATGCTGGAGCGGCGAGAGCAGACCAGCAATCAGAAGCTGGAAGAATTGGACAGCAAAATGGAAGCGGTTGTTGGATGGGCGAAAGCCGGATATGTGGACTTCAGCAAGATTGACTTCACCCCGCGTCTAATCCACAACGAGTTTTGATATTACGCAGAAACAATAGCTCTATCATGCTGCAGTTCATTTTACATAAAGAGTCCCTGCTTGAACCTACACTTCCATCCTGAAGGCAGGAGTGCACCATGGAACAGCCTAGGCTCTTGGATGAGATGCGGTTCAATGAGACACTCCATTCAGAAAGCACTCGCCAGTTATCTCAGCGCTTTGATGAGAGCTTTGTTCTATTGAGCAGTGCGCCCCTCGCCCATTCACAATGCAAAGGCGCAACATGGTCACACCATCAATCAAATTGATGGTTGAAATACCAATGCCTGCAGACAAGACAGAACAAATCCCTTCTTGTTCCATGTGAACAATAGGCACACATCAGCAAGCACATTTCTCTATGTCATTTCCAAAATCCCCCCTTGCTAGCCCAGGTTGGATAAGCTGGCGGTCAAAGCAGATGACGGGGACGAAAAGATTCGCGCCCTCACAGTGACTTGAAGCAAGACGTTTCTTACATTCTGTAGCACGGGCTCTTCTGCAGACAGTCTCATGTACTCTTTACACCAATCATCAATGGATCGTACATTTCTGTGGGCGTTTTTTTGAGTTTCTATTTCATGGCTTTTTGTATCAAGTTTTGAAGAGCTTTACTCAGGCCAGGGTGGAGAAATCTGAAGAAAAGCTATCGGAGGTCTCCGAAATGGTTGGAAGGAGTCAACGAGAGATATCCGATTCCCGGCATAAAACAGCAGAGTGACACACGGCAATAAACTCGGTACGTGTTCCTTATGCATGCCGGATCCTATTGCATTCTTTCCGCAGGAAATTCAATTAGACACAGTTCGTAGAGCTTCAATCCCACTTGACTGCATCAACACCGGCACAAGGCTTATGTAGCAGGAAATGCTTGTCATGCTTACAGACAACTGTTATCATCCAAAGCTATTCTTGGGAGAAAAGTTATGTGCATGCACGCTAGTGTCTGACCAGGAGGCTGACAAGAGAGCCTACAGAACATGGCCATTCAAGTTCGCATGTGATGTAACTAAAGTTCTAGTGACTCTAGTGGCGCCAGAGTCTAGGTTGAGATTGTCCTTTCCGCCATGCATGCAATTTGGATGGAATAGATGCATGCAATGCTTGCTCTTTTGTAGCCTTTATCTCTCAGATTCCAAGGAGAAGCTGAGTGATGTTTTACATGAAGGTGCTCACAGTGCAGAGACGCCACCAATCTGCACTTTTCTTTTTTGCAATTTCCCCAAACATCTAGGTTGGAGGCCATCGCTAGTAGTTAAGTGTCCTTGAGCCTGAGTCCTTCTGCGTCCGATCGGTACTACTTGTTAGCTAGTAGCTACTCCCTACTCTTCCATACTTACCTCTTGCTCGTGTCTACCCCGGGCTAGAAAAGAAGGGCCATTTAATGTGTGATGATCTGTGGCCGAGGTTAGCTTCTCGCTTTGACTCCACACTGGAGCCAGTTGCAGGAAGCACGAAGGCAATCAAAGACGATCTTCGTCAAATCTTCGACTCCTGCCCTTGTTTGTTCTTGCGTATCGATTCTGATTGTTCTTCGTAAGATTGTAAGATACTCTATTCTTTTTGGACAAGACTTTGAGTTGTTTGTGAGAAAGAGCTACAATTTGATAGTGCAACCTTAATTCTTCTATTTCACTCATTGCATGCACAATCTATTCTGGATTTAGACAGAACTTTGTGCCATCAGCTTCTTCCCTGGTTCTAAGGATCGTTTGGGGTCTGACACCAATGCAGTGTTGAACGAGATTGGGAAGATTCAACAAGCCATGAAGCTTGGCTGTGCATGGCTGTGAATAGCATCCACCTCATGTGTGAGCAACTTATGTGGCAGTTTGGAAAGAATCTTGATTGGTGTGATTCCACCGACGCATCAAAGGAACCTGGACTTTGTGAGGACGGATGGTGATGACACTTGGGGAATGGGGCAGTCAGCTGCAGTGTCCGTGCCCATGAGCATCCTCACAGGTCGCAACCAATCTGATAAGCATGCTCCAAAGCGAGTTCGTGTCAGAGAGTTTTTCTCTCAGACAGATGAAGTGGAACAGCAGGAGAAGATGACTCAGACCGATCCCAAAATGCAGACCGTGGTTCAGAAGAAGGAGAAGATATTTGAGAAAAGAGGTTCGAAGAAGATGGTCAAACTGGAGACAAAGAACAAGAATGAAGGAAAGCTGGCAGCCTCTCGCACCAGAGGTTTCAATGATCCTGATCAACTTAAGCAGAAAGCCAGACAAGCTTTGATAAAACCTCCATACAATGTATTTGACTACTATCATGAAGAAGGGCTGTTTCAACAGATTGCCCGGAGTATAATCTTCGACTACTTGAGCCTCACCATGGTTTGTTTGAATGCAATTTGGATTGCCATTGATGCTGATTTAAACGACGCTGCTGTTATCACAAGCTCACCTCCAATCTTCATCGTGGTGGAAAATCTCTTTTGCACCTACTTTTTTGCGGAAGTCTTTATCCGCTTTATGGCCTTTGCAGAGAAGTACCGTGCTCTGCGAGACAGATGGTTTGTCTTCGATTCTTGCTTGGTCCCTTAAGCACCAACAGCAAGACTTTTTGATCCTTTGCTATCACTTTTTTTGTTTGTTTCAACTACTCTTAAGCACCAGGTTTGTTTTGGTTCTTCTCTCCTGCCAGAGGTCTTTTTCATGGTCTTGGAGACCTGGGTCACGCCGATTATTGTCCTTGGCTTCAACATTGATCTTGCCAATTCTCTAGACCTTTCCACTTTGAGAAGCTTACCTCCAAGTTTTATGTTGCCGAGGCTGTTGTACTATTATGCTATGAACAGCATGAGGAAGTCGACATCTACCCAGCTGATATGGTGTATATATATATATAGAGTTCTTTTGTTGTTTGAATCTTGCACAGCTCCTGCTTCACGGTTCTTCAATCTCACCAAGGAATGTTCCGCATGGTGAAACTGCTTCGTTTGTCGCGAATGGCAAAGCTGATGCACGCCGTGCCTGAGCTGACTATCATCCTGAAGGGCATCAAGCTCGCGCTACGATCCGTTCCCGGACTCCCAACAGTTGTCTAAGAACCTTTTTTTGAGAACCCTTTTGAAGTAACAGCCTGCCATGAAGCCTGCCATGCCTTTGAAGTTTGAAGCGCAGGTTCTGGTGTTTTTTCTATTCTGGGCGATGGTGGTCTATGTTTTCGCTCTGATCCTGCGCCAGCTAACGGAAGGCGACAGCGTTGGTTTGCAATACTTCAGCAATGTTCCACACTCGGTGAACAATCTTCTACTGTACGGTATCATTCCAGATCAGCGGGACCTGGTGGATGCCGCCACGACGGTCGGTGCATGGATGTGGCCATTGATTGTGTGCTTTTTCTTCTTTGTATCGATCACTATCATGTACATGCTTGTTGGAGTTCTAGTTGATGTGATGCGGGTCACTTCCCAAACAGAGAAGCTTGTCATCAATATCTTTGATTTGAGAGCACTACTGCTGCATTGGGTTGTTATTGAGATTCTAGAGATGAAAGCAGTCTGAGGAAAGAAGGCATCACAATCACTTATTTAGCCCAAGAATTTCGAGAAAAGATGGAGCAGCTGAGTTGTAATCCTGACGAACCGATTTCCCAGTTCGAGTTTCAGAAACTGCTTCTGGAGCCTGAAATTGCCTTGGTTTTGGCTGGAGAAGGGGTTGATGTGATCGCCTTGGTTGACAGCCTAGACATGATCTATGAAGATGTCAGCAGCTTGGCGGCATGATCTCTCTCTCTCTCTCTATGGACTCAATTCAAGTTTGGGAAGCTTCAACGAGGAGGGTTTGCAAGGATTGCTCCCAAAGGACCCTGCTCCCAGATGAAAAAGCTCCTAGTAGCGTCCTTGCTCCTAGTAGTACGGCCAGGAGCCCCTAGTAGCGTCCTTGCTCCTAGCTGGATCAATTTGCCCGTCCAGGCAAAAGCGGCAAAGACGGCTTGGACTTTGCGGCTGCAATGGATTTGATCCTGAACATGCGAGGGAACAACCCTGCTACCGTCAAGGAAGCGGCCTCCATTGTTTGCCCTTCCTGACTTACCCGAAAAAAGGAACACATATAACAACAAACCGTAGTGTATGGCCTAGCGTAGCTGTTTAGCCTAGCTGTTTGGTGTGACTTTCGTTTGGAAGATGTGTTAGCCCAACATTGTTAAGTTTCCCCGAACATCTAGAAGCCAAATCAGTCTAGTAGCTTACCTCCTTACGTAATTAAGTAGGCGCCTGCTTAATTAAGTAGGCAGCGGGGAGCGGGCTAAAAGAAAGTAAGCCCCTTCGTGCGTGCCTAACTTGTAGACTGCAGGATGTGAAGGAGCAACTCCGCATCGTGAAGTCCTTAGTGAAGACGTCTCAATTCACCATTGTCGTCACTTGGCGTGGCAGTATTTCTCTCATCACTGTTGTGACTGTTGTGTCCGTTCTTCTCCATTCGTTGCGTCTCTTCAACGCAGGGCTCACCTTTCGGATTTGAAGAGTTAAGGACAAGATGAATTCTGAGTTCACTCATATGCAGTCACTCCTGAAAGAGTTGAGGGAGGAAGCTCTGCAGAGAGAGATTCAAGGAGAGTTAGATGAGGAAGATGTCGACTTTCTAAAGCCTCTACCCACTTCTCCCAAATCCGTTGGCTTGCAGTGATCTTGTAGCCAACCCTTGAAGGTAAATTGCTTTGCAATTTTCCGAGATGTAAGTCTTCTTTGTTCGGCTGCACCACGCAGAATGAAAAGCAACACGGAGCTTTTGCCAAAGCATTGGAAAACTTGGCCGCCCCAACTGCATCCAGCTGTCGGAATACATCGGACGGCGGCTTTGGCGGCTGCGGTCGGAACTCAACGATTCAACGCGACGAGAGAGAATTCAAAGCGACTGTGAGAATAGGCGATGAATAGAATCCTGAAGTCCTACACAGGTAGCTAGAACAATTGGTCAAGAAATCGAAGCAATCTCGTCGCCTTGGCTGTTTCACCAAGCTCGATATTTTCTGCTGTGAGGCTGAAGCATAAGCCTTGTGGCTCAACATAATCTCCTGTGTGAAATTAGCACTGAAAACCAAAGTGGAAAGCAACTTGGCAATGCCAAGCCAGGTCTCTCAATGACTGCTGCAGACGAAGTGCGGAGTCTGGAGAAGTTTGGCTACACATGCTGAATCGTCATGCAGAAGTCTGCACATGCAGCTTTCATACAGCCTCAAGTATTCGCAGATCTCGTCATGAGTCATTTGCAAGAAGATCGAACCTGCAACTAATACATGCAATGCATAACAACGTTTCAGATATATAAGATTATATAAGTATAATAGAGAGTCTTTTTCAGATCTATGCTGCAAGCGTTGCAAAATATATCAAACACCTGCCCTCTCCACCTGCAACTTGCAATGTTCATTGCTTGGAACTCTGAACCAAGATCGATTCTCAAGCCAAACAACACACATCGACATCGACCCTTTTGACGCCGTCCTTCCTTTGGATCCTTCAGATGTGGCTTTGGAGAGGATGAGCGGACAGTCGTGCGGGTCGACGAGCTACGATGGCGAAAAGGTGCAATGAGGTGTGATGTCCATGATCGAGCAAGTTCTCAAAGCTGGATTTTTCCAAGGATTCTAGGAACCAAATGAATAGTGCTTGAGCAATAGTGCTTGAGCCATCGTGCGGTCCTAGGTCCTAGGTAGTAGCATGTTCAGTACGTAATAGAGCTACTAACTAGTAGCTTATACCTCTTCCTCCTACCCCGAGCCCCGAGTCTTGACTTGCAGATTCGTAGTCTCGTCGACTCAGAGTTGCATACGCAGACGTGACGCTTCTGACTCGGAGGAGCTATCATTGTAGCTGTGGCTGCAGAGCACATTTGGCTAGAGCAGAACAGCGGTACTTGGCAGGTCGGGGTACTCATAATGGGTCGAGCAGACAGCCAACCGGTGAATTCAACAAGTTCATTGTGCCGGCCCAGGTCTCATCTGACGTTGGACAGAGGGCCGGTATGGAATTGGGGTCACTCACTATTGCGGTTGTATATCAATTTGTCCACCTGCAGAGTCTTTGCTAATACTGTATTGGTTTTGTCTCTTCTTTCGGAGAGAGAGAGATCTAGCCAACATATTGCTTGCTTCGGTTATGCTGGGATGAACTGACTACATGTTTCTCCATCATCAGCTGGACAGTGATTGAGTGCGCATGTCAGCTGTGCAGTACCTCAGTATTCCGTTTGTCATCCTTTGTCCATCATTGCGATTCCAGTGTTTCCTTCGTTTCCAGGATTGCTGGGCGACCACGGTACCCTTCGTGGCGCCGGTGGCTTTACGCAGGACACCCAGAGAGAGTGCACACGAGCCGTTCAGGTGTAGCGGCGTAGCGTGATCGTTGGGCAAAGTGCAGATGAGCTGAGTCTCCCAGGCACCTAAGCGCTGCAAAGGCTGCAGGTGCTGAGGCATTGAGGAGCAGGGGGAAAGGAAGGAATCGAAACGATCTTTTAAAGCTTGCACAAACCAAGGCATTTGGCGGCACTTGGTTCCGATTTGTGTGACCTGAAAAAAGAAACAGGACCTGGGACTTCAAGCAGCTGAACGACACGATCGAAGGCTGGACCGCAGTCTTCATTGGTCGCACTCCCAATGTGGAGAAGAACTTGGATTTTGGCTGCGCATCAGATCTTTCTTTTGCCAGAAGCAGAAGCATTGGGCTTGAAGTACTCTGCTGGGATCTGGCTTTCTCATGACAAAGAGGTTTATGAGAACCTTGGCCAGCATAGAGGATGAGTGAACAAAGGTGCCTAGTTTCAGTGAACGCCTTTGCCAAGTTTTGCTGGCCTACTAAAGTATATCGGCAACATAAGATGTTGAGTGAAGGCCTTCTTCATGTGCGAGCGAGTCCAATCCATCTCCTCGCTACTAAATCAGTAGACAGGTTCATTCATTTGTGTCCTCCACAGACGTGGAGTTTATACCAAATAGGCTCTTGTGCAGATGCAAAGCCCCACCTTTGTACCTTTTGGTAAGTGTCGTCTCCAAGGAATTGCAGCGGAGATCTCCGTGAGGACAGGCAAAGACGATAAGATCACCAAGCTAACTAGGTCTGATTGAAAGACAACTCCATGTTTCTTTGCAAACCGGGCTAAGAATCCGTGCTTTCCAACAATTCGTGCCACATGTGAAGATGTTAGGTATTTTGGCGTTTTGTGAGGATCCATATTGGAAGAAGGAGTTGGAGAGAATCCTGGATGGTGTGCGAGCCTTCAAGCCTGGCACATAGTTCCAGCTTTTACATGCTTTTACTATGCAAGACTTGTGTCCACCGGGGTCACCGTAGGTGGCTTTATTCTAGAAATCCAAAAACTCGAAAAAAAGCAAACGAAAAGAACAAAAGCAAACTAAAAAAGCACCAGCAAAACAAAGAGCAACCAAGAAAGCAAAAAAAAGGCAACCAAAAGTGCAACCAAAAAAGCACAAGCAAAACAAAAAGCAACCAAGAACGCAAAAAAAAGCAACAAAAAAGCAACCAAAAGTGCAGCCAAAAAAGCACAAGCAAAACAAAGAGCGGCGTTGGGGCCAGTTAGACATCCTAAACTATACAATATAATAGTGCAAAAAGGTTGGTGGGTGGATCCAGATATGATATGATTAGATTGGAGTTCCAATGGTTCCAAAAATATGATTGGAGTCATTGGATGTTTTCTCACCTTGCGCAGTAGCTGTGAGCGACTGGGTGGACTCTACACTCTACACCCGTCCAAAAAAGATCTGGGGTGTCTGACATCTACATGGTCCCTGAGGTTTCTGCACTCAGCCGGGCTTTCTAGCGCACTTTCTGGCGCGGTCCACTTTCTGTGCACTTTTGGGGGGGAGGGTCCACTTTCTGGCGCCCTTTCTGGCACACTTTTGGGGAGGGCCCACTTTCTGGCGCACTTTTGGCTGCTTCTTTTTGCTTTTTTGGGCGGTGCCGGGAAAAACGTCGCACTTTTGGTCGCTTTTTTTTCGCCCTTTCTCGACAAAAACGAAAAAAGCGAAAAAAGAGCGAACAAAATGGAAAAAGCGACCAAATGTGCGACTTTTTCCGGGCACCGCCAAAAAGAAAAAAGAAGCGACCAAAAGTGCGACTTCTGACCCGACGCCGAAAAAAAGCGACCCAAAGTGCGACTTCTGACCCGGCGCTGACAAAAGCGACCAAAAGTGCGACTTTTGACCCAGCACTGGAAAAAAACGCCCCAATGTGCGACGCTTCACCCGGCGCCAGAGAAGACCCGAATTCCTCACCCAGCACTAACCCTACCCCTACCCAGCTCCCTCGCCAGGCTCGGCTCCAACGCGTTGAATTCCGAATCTGCAGTCAATCTGCAGAGGCCGTTGCTAGACTAGTGCTGGGGGTAGTAAGTAGTAGAGGAGTAGTAGTGGTGGTGGTAGTGGTAGTGATAGTTGTAGTGGTAGTGGTAGTCGTAGTAGTAGTCGTAGTAGTAGTAGTAGCAGCAGTAGTAGTAGTAGGAGTAGGAGTAGCAGTAGCAGTAGCAGTAGCAATAGCAGTAGCAGTAGTAATAGTCGTGGTAGTAGTAGTAGTAGTAGTGGTGGTGGTAGTAGTAGTAGTAGTAGGAGTAGGAGTAGCAGTAGCAGTAGCAGTAGCAGTAGCAATAGCAGTAGCAGTAGTAGTAGTCGTGGTAGTAGTAGTAGTAGTAGTAGTAGTAGTAGTCGTAGTCGTGGTGGTAGTGGTAGTAGTAGTAGTAGTAGTAGACACGACACACACACACACGCGGCACCTGGAAGACCGAAGAAGACGAAGAGTTGGGTTGTTTTTTTCTTTGTTTTTTTGCTTTTGTGACTATCGCTTTTGTTTTTCTGGTTGCATTTTGGGGTTGTTTATTTTTTTGCTTTTGTGTTTGCTGCTTTTGTCTTTTTGGTTGCATTTTTTTTTCAAGATGAGCAACTTCTAGAACAAAGGGGTCTGGCAGACACAATGTAAGACCTTGATAGTGTGCACACACACACACACCCCATCCCATACACCTCCTAGCTTGCGCAGCTTGCGCTAAGGAACTCGTCTGCCATTTTGTGGTGGACAGTGGGAAATGAAATCGAGTGGGAAGACCAAGCTTCGGAAGGGTCAGAGAAGGGAGTCTTCTTGAGTTTCTTCATGGATCCAAAGGTTGGTTGTCGATGAACAGGGCTTGGACAAAGGCTGTAGTTTACACGTCGTAGTTTTGCCCTGAGGTTTGCCACCAATGTCGTTCTAGGCACCAGCGGACATATGGGAGATACCACCGAGTTGCGTGTTGCTGGAGAGACACTTGAGAGGCTTTCACCAACTTGAGTGGAACATGTGCACAGACAGAGTACATCTTGTGTTCCAGCTATGTGGTTTTGCACGGATTTGCGCAAGGCTCTGAATGCACCTGGCGAATCCTCAATAAAGTCGTGGAAGAAGTAAAAGCAGAGGCCGCATTCGAGCAGAATCTTTACTACTTGAAACGAGAGAGCGAGAGAGAGAGAGAGAGAGAGAGAGAGAGGGAGAGAGAGGGAGAGAGGGGGAGAGAGAGGGAGAGAGAGGGAGAGAGAGGGAGAGAGAGGGAGAGAGAGGGAGAGAGAGGGAGAGGTAGGGATTATATTTCCGTTTCCACTGGATTGTGCACAACCCTGCCGCCAGCTGCTAGGATCCAGAGCATCCCGTGGGCTATGTTTCTGCTGGAACACATGAGGGCAAGGCGACGGTGACTTTGAAGCTTCTGGCAGTGGCGATGGATTCCGTGAGCTTATGTGGAAGTGTCCCTATCACCACATTGACATTTGAGCCCTTTACTTGAGCCAGATCAAGCTGATCAAAGAGTACTGCACTTCTCTGGATTTCTTGGGTGTGAACTCTTACGGTGAGGACTGACGTTGCACTTTTGCTATGCCATGCCATAGATCCAGAGCGCTATCGAGCTGGCTTCCCTAAGAGGCGTTTCATTTTCGCCACCATGCTACAGCTATGGCTTTGTTCATGAAATCCCTGCTTTAGTTAGTGGCAAAGCATTCGAGAGAATGCGAAGGAACACTCCCAAATGCGAATTGGTTAATCTAAGATCTGAGAGAAGAATAGAGTCGCCGAATCCTGTCAAGTGCCGGAAGGACTCATTGAAGGTGGGCGATGACTTGCGGCAACTCATCAAATTTGCCGCAACAAGAAGCTACTAGTAGCAAGTTGCATCGCTACTAGCAGCTAGAAGCTACTAGTACATTTTTTTCCGCTCTTCTTTCAATTTGCTAACTCAGCTGAGGCGTGTGGGTTTAAGTCTGCCTTATGCACTCATGGAGTTTGGACCTACAGGTGAGCTGGGCTGGCTTTGAGAGTAGTTCATGACGGCATTGATCACTTACATTTTCTGCATGTCAGGTCACTGGTCAGCGGATGTCACTGCCTGGGGCTCCTATATTGAGGTGGGTCAGTGATATGACCGGACGTTTAATCATCAGTGTATAATCAGTGCGTCATCAGTGCTCGTGCTTCCTTCGCATTGTTGACATTGTACCTTCCTCAAGCCGACTGTTGAAGCACATCGGCATCGTCCCTCTATCATTTTCCAGGAGAGTTCTACTGAGAAGGTGCCTCTTTATGTGGCCACATGCGAGCTACTAGACTGCATGAGTAGTTGAGGTTGACCAGAGGTGATTCAATGCATCCGGACATGCTTTCTTAAGGGGACAGTTGCGCAGACCTTTGAAGGGTGATGCAGAGAAAGAATATCACATTTTCTGGGGTTTTACTTTCCCAAGCGCATTTTCGAAACTGGTGCTGCCGACTCTGCGGCAGCGCTTGAGTGGTTGGCAGAACATTTTTTGTGCCTTAAAGCAGGAGGTCTTCCCTATGATAACATTGCACGGCACGGCCTCCGGAAATCCTTCCATGAAGGTTGGAAGCAATTTTACGACCATGGTTCAGAGAAGTCTGGGTATTACTGTCGTTGGGAGAAATAAAGTGCACGAAACATGAAACATGGAGCCCTTCCGCGGGAGGAGCTCTAGGGTAGTGTCCCCTGGTATTTCACTCCTGGAATGCTTGCAGTTTATTGCGAACATCAAACATCTTCTCCTCGGACGGACGATTACATTGCGAGAGGGATCAGCGTCTGCTGCTCCATCCGCTCCACTTGCTCCATCCGCTCCACCTGCTCCACATGCTTCATCCAATCTACCCGCTTAGCCCCGATAATGACAATTAAGTCAGATCCCGCGATCCTCTCCAGCCCATTTGGGATCTTCTTTTGTGTTTTTCAACGTGTCAGCTTTGAGGGGTTTGTTGTCTTGTCGAATGATCGACAGCTCTATTTTTCGGAATGTCCGTATTATATAAGCACAATCATTTTGCACCGAACATGAGTTTACTTAAGAGCCTCATATGCATACAGCCACGTGCGCGAATCGCTCGCTTGGAGAACACCTAGGCTTTGCTTTTCAGATCCTCAATGCATTGGTGCTTTTGCATTCGCCGCTTACAACTACAAGAAGCTACTAGGGGCTCCTGGCCTTACTACTAGGAGCAAGGACGCTACTAGGGGCTCCTGGCATCGCTACTAGGAGCATTCTTACTACTAGTAACAAGAAGATTTCTTTGTGGTTTTGGCTCTGTGGAGTGAGAGTTTCCATGCTCACTTGGCGGCAACTAGGTATGGGGCTGGAAGTGGGAGAAGACTGGGACCTGGTATGGCCTTTTCAATGAGTGGCCGGCAGTCTCAGAAAACATCAGCAGCTCCACTTGCCCTGTCTGCGAGTCAGAGGTGCAAGCCTCACTCTATTTTGCCCATCCTTGACCCAACTATTGAATATATGATTTTTAGGTGTTTATGGCTTTGCTGGTTTTGATCATTGGCGTTATTTTTTGTATATAAGGCTAAGTGAAGTCAGTAGCCTTTTTAGTATAGACTTGGTCAAATGGTGTCCAATGATGTGCCTATCATCCGGTTTGGACTAGAACATTAAGAACCACAGGAAATGCACACAACAGACCAGTTTCATGGCGCCAGGTGCTCAGTGCCTTACAAAAGTGCTGGACAGGGCAGGCGAGGAGAGGGCTAGCGGGCGGTTCACTAAAGGCACCCAAAGGATTGAGTCGGCTTGTCCCTTGAGAGGATAGACTGACATCCACCAAATCCGCTCATTCCGGTTTTCAGCTGTGAAACCAATGATCACCGTGCTTTGTTGCAATACGTTCCTGCACATCGCTTGTAGGAGAAGGCCACAAAGGCACCAAGCATACACGGAATTTGGTTGGATGGCGAGCGGCTTCCCCGGAACACTTTTGTCATCGACCAAACTGAAGTGACGCTGGCGGGATAGCCCAGTCTGGGCAGGTTGGCTAATGACACAAGTTGAGTAGTAATTTTAGCATGTTGTAACTTTTGGAATGATTGGGAACGTGTTGACAGCAGGAAGCTTTGAGAATCTGTGGATGTGCAGTTGGCGAGTACGAATGCACCTTACTAGACTGTCACATGCAGGGTGTTGCTACAAGAATTCACGCAAATTGCTGGAGCCTATATGCTTGGTATTCTGTGTAGACATTCTTATAGACAAGGTTTTACACATATGATTCATATGATAACAGATTTGCATATATATATATACATATACAGACACTTGTACTACTCTGGAACCAAGCTAGACCTCCAAGGCCGTGAATGCAAGCCAGCTGTCAGGGAATGACCTGACAGCGCTGTGGGTGGCTTTGAGCTCAGAGTGGCGCTTTGCCGTTCGACGACACACGGAGTGATGTGCTGAGGTCACAGAAGAAATTGTGTCAGACGCAGTGGGCGGTGCGTTTGAAGCGACGAACCCTTTGCTTGACAATTTGCAGCCTGGAGCATCTAACTTGAATTTCAAAACATTCACAGATGGTTCAATCTACAATCTGCGGATTCTCAATCTGATTGTTGTAACGAGGTTCCCGGGGAGCCCAGAGATCAGCAGTGGTGTGGGTCTCTCCGTTCAGTTCAACACCACAACCCTGACAATGGGTGCGCTGCATAGCACAAAGTGCTCAATGTTTGGCTTCGCTGCATGATTCACGTGCTGAGAGTGCTGATAGCGTTCAGAACCGACCAACACCAGCTGTCAGCACCATATTGCCTGCTTGATTGAGGCTATTCAGCTACTGCTTGTTTCTGCAAAGAAATAAGTTGTCGCACTTGTCGCAATCAACATCAGGTGCAAACTACCGCCTCTATGTTTTTGTACGTGAGAACCCAGAATCATGCGGTGTTTCTTGGCTTGACAGTATCACAAGTTTGTTTGGCCTTGAACGTTTCCTCGATGTGCTTCTGTCATTGTAAAGTATCAGTTTAACATGTTGCAGGTTCTTTTCAGATCTTTTGAACAAGCCATACGTTTGTTACGAGTACAGTCGTTGGACCGGAGTGGACAAGGTGATGTTGTCCATTTGCGCGTTTGTTGCGCTTGTTGCAGGCTCAATGTCCCAACCACGAAGCATATGCCTCCTTGGCCTTTCGCATTGGATCCTTGGCAGTTTCAGAGGGCTTTCAGAGGGCTTTCACTCACGAGAACTCACCAGTTTGGCCGGCTTAGGTCACAATGCGTTGCCGGGGGAGCAGTGCTACAGTCTGGTGAGCTATGCGATGGAAAAGGACCTCGAAGCGAATCCGGGAAGGCACAAGAGTTGAACACTTGTTTGTGCCAGCTATCAAATTTGATCTTAGCATCGTTCTCACTTTCTTTAACTTTTGTTCCATTTCTTTTGTTCTCACTTCTGAATGTTGCTGCTATTTATTTCTTTGGTTCATGACAGTAACTTTGATAAATTTGGACTCTCCGTAAGGTATCCAGGTGCCAGTTCGACCTCAACCTTTTCCGAGGCTGGCACTTGCCACGCTGATTACTGGTCCAATCTATTTGAGTAATGCACGAGACAGATGAACTCGAAGCTCTTGCCCTCAAGCTGCGAGGTTCAGATGTCTTTGGCACAGACACAGCAAGGGAGGTGTCAGTTTCCATGTGATCTTCCCATTTGGTGTCACACCACCCAACCTGGAGAGGCGGGGAGATTGATTGCCAAGTTGAGGAGAGACGCGTAGATGTCAAGTTGGCGGATTGCACAGGCATGCTATGACTTTATACAATGGGTGTTGCAGAACAACAACACGCAAGATGCACCGGAGGCCGCATCGATGAGGGTTGAAAGAATATCCCAGATCTTGATAATTTCCATTTTCATTTTCATTCGCTATTGATCCAACATTCCGCAATCGTTTTACTTTCTCAATGTAGCAAACACAACAGACACCTCAGCTCCCACCAACAGAAGGGTTTGAACTGAGAACGCAACTCCAGAACATCACCCGATGTAGCCATGAAATCACTGGAAAACATTTTTTGGGTTAAAAACACGCTCACCTCAGTATAGTACTCTTGGCTTTCACACTTGCAGTTTTGACACTTGTATCTCCAAAACAACTTTGCGAGGCGCTTCATGAGAAGAAAAGCATCAAAGGTGTGCAGCTGGCAGTGCACGAGTCCATGCCAGGGCCAGGGCACCTGTGAGCTTTATGCCGTCAATGTCATGATTTTCCGCAGTTAGTCATATTTATGTACAGCACGATTAGAATTGTAAAACATAGCGGACAAATCCTTTGGAGCAGGAACAGGGTTCCCAGCAAACTTTGGAGTACACAGGACGTATATTATTCATCACAAGCTTAGCACATAGACAGATTTTCCTTTTGTTTATGGTTTCCAAGTACACTTTTAGTAGTCGTCACTTTGGCGTGATAATTTCTTTTGCGTCATAACAATTGACAAGTATGCAACAAGCATGAAATGATGTCTACAAAATAAGCAAAGCACACTATTTATATATACACAAAAAGGCACGATCGTATTATGAGATATATAGAACATGTCGAGGCGAAGTTTGTGAAGAGTGACTGTAGGCTTTTGGCATTCAAAGCTTTTTCAGAACTCAAGCTATTATTTTCGATTGAGTCAAGTCATGAACTTTTGAGTTTTGTTTTTCATTTACTGTATTTTTGCGAATGGCACGTTCGGAGTTCTCAGGATCTGCCCACGCCCATGCGAGGGTACAGGCCTCCAATGTGAGCCCAACTGCGAGGATACAGGCGACACAGGCGCGCGCGCCGCTTGGAACGGGGGCAGTTCTGAGGGGTATTTGGGGTCTACGTGAAAGAGAGAGAGAGAGAGAGAGAGAAAGAGAGAAAGAGAGAAAGAGAGAAAGAGAGAGATGAGCGCCACACGTGTCGGGATATCTTCGCCACTTGGAGCTGAAAAAGAAGAGGAGATAGCTTCTGTAGCGTCCTTGCTCCTAGTAGCGATGCCAGGAGCCCCTAGCAGCTTCTGTTCTGAGAAACATGTTTCCAACATGACACATCAATGTGAGTGACCCCACAAACGCCATGAAGACCTGTGTGAGAGAGATGCAAACGCGCATGAATTTGACAGTATTCCAATCTGAGCTGACGGACTGTGGCTCACTTGACGCTACATTAATCTAATCCACATGCAAATTTGCAAGTATTTCAAGGAGCAATCAATTTTTTGGCTAGTCTCAAGATATCACAATGAAGCTGAAGACTCACTGTCGCTGAGCTCCGGGCAAGGCCCTGAAGAGATCGGAAAGGAGGTTAACGGTGCCAAGTTGATGCATCTGTCATCTCTTTCGCTTTTAGCTCTTGCAGTGGCCCGGTGGGCCACCGGAGGTATTTAAAGCATCTAAATCGACAGTCTAGGCAAGTCTTGAGAGCTGCGTCTTGAGAGCTGCTTTCAATCCCAATTAGACCCAAAAGCAAAGACTCTTCAAAGCTGCCAGTTTTGGATGCTGCAGACCACACACCTGTTGATGGTTTTAGAGTTTGGACGAGACTAGTCGGCTGTGGGTCATCCCGAATGACCCACTCAGCCACAGCATTGTCCAATGTGCAAACGCACAACACGTGCGCCCAAACGAGCGAATTCGTTCTTTTGCAGGACTTATCATGTCCTGTATACAATGGATGCCTTCTTTGATGGCACAAGCATTTTTCGTCTTGATTTTGGATCATTGGTGACGCCAACGTGTGTCATAGACTGCACCGGCAGCACGCGCTGTTGGGGCCCAAGACAGGCCATACGCAGCATTTTTGGGAGCTTTTCCGAGAAGCCATTAGGCAGGGATGCCCAACCCTGATAGACATATTTGCTTCAATACTGAGGCTATTCTACTTTACTGTACTTGTTTCTTTCCGAGATGTTGTGGCACATCTGGCAACCTTGCTGATCTTGCCCCAAGCTGCTCTTGGTGAATGCATTCCTAGATCCTTCTGCATGATTTCGTTGCAGGATGTCTGTAAATGGCGCCCAGCAGTCAGACAACTCAAGTGACTCAAAAAGCCGCATTGCTGCAATGACCCATAGCTATTCAACCAAAGTGTTTAAGCTTCTGTAAAATGCTTTAACCGCCCAGCAGTTGCTGTGGAGTGAGGGGGTTGCTGTTCCTTTTACCCTTTGAGTCTCTTTGGGCATGTTACTGTCAAGTCATATGCCCAGTGCAAGTAAGATGACATGCACGTGACAGGCTACTGCTGTGCCTCTCTGGCTTTGCCACGTACTCATTGGTCTTTGGCCTGAGCTTTTGTGTCTACACCACCAATAGTGCTACGTATGTGTTTGTGCTATGGGCGAGAAACGACCAGAATGGCTCCAGGATGGGTCTCCTGGGTCTTGCCAATCGTCAATTAAACAAATATCTCAGGCAAAATTTAGATAGCACATATCTAGTATTTTGATGTCTTGCTAGCATTTCCTTTTTATGGCAAGCCTTTAAAAGCGCAATTCGCCACCTACCTTAGAGAGGGTTTGTCCGATCTTGGCCAAGCAAAACTTTTCAATCGACGATTGAGCGAACAACCTGACATGCAGGGCACACATTCACTTGTGCCTGAGGACATGTTTGTACTTTTTGCTTTCACCTGTGTGCAACTCTTTTGAAACTTTCCAACTTTCCACACAGTTTAGTTGCACTTCCTTACTTTGTTCCCTATCGGTATCACACTACAAAGAGTGTTGGCTGGCATGCCGATAATAGGCTTGGTTGACCAGCCAGCAGTACTTGGGAACCCTCAAACCAAGGCTGATGCGAGACGTGAGAAGCTGTGAAACAGCGAGAAGTCTCCCTCTGGAGAAGTTGCTTCAGAGAGAAAATGCCGGCAGATCTCCATATCTGATCATGTTTGCGCAAGTCTTGGTTGACGGATGTTTTTCTGAATAGCACTTCAATGATTGGAATGCACTCAGAGGAGAATCATGGACCTGCCTTTTGAGGGAAGAAACGAGGATGCCTGTCACGCTTGTGGATTGGTGTTTATGTCTATAATTACAAAATAGAAAGGGATTCTTTGATGCGCCCTGGCATGCTCAAGCTTACTACTGTTGTCATGTCATCAGCGCTCATCAAGCAGTAGAACTGTAGTGAAATGTGGTGATGCATGGTGGTGGAAGGCTTATTGAATGCTTCATACGCCGCGGCAAGAAACAGCCGCTTCATGCTCGCTAGGCAGTTCACGGCGAACATCTGCCTCAGCTAGGAAGTTGGCAAACAGGATCTTTAGTGGAGCGAACTGTCTTGACGCCATGGCACGGAGCAATGCAGTTGGAGACAGTACCCGTAGATGACATTGCTGAAGAAGTTGATGCTGCGGCCCAGGACTGTCGCATCGCCGCATCGCGCTTTCGTGTTTCTTTTTTTTTTTTTTTAATACAACATGATGCTTGCAGTGTGCTTACAGCAATTCAGGCTCTACATCTTGATGCGGTATACCGTATTCCGTATACCCACTTACTCCTTTCTACTTTGATTTGCACGAGAACCAGCATTTGGCGCAAGGATCGTGAGCAGCTTAGACAGGCTCGTGCCTTGGAGGCACGATGGCGCTGGGAATCTCTTCTGGAGGACGGGTTGAAGTTGAAGTGTTCACTTTGTTCTCTATTCACTTATGTTTTCTATGCTAAATTCTTGTTCCAAAATCGCCCAGCCGTTTGTTTGCTTGCCGTTTGCAGTTCTTCGTTCTAAGACCTCCATGTTTTCAGCAACGCATCAGCCTTTACACATGAGGTCCACACCATCATCCTCAATGTCCGATGTCACGTTGGAATACAGTTGAAAAGGCGTAGAAAGAGGAGTTTGAAATTAATTCCTCCAGGTTTAACACTTTAGGTACTAGGTCTTCCACAGGTATTTGTCTGTATCAAAGGAAAGAAACAAAGGCTAGCCCTCCTTAAGGCAACAAAGGAAACGAACAAAGGCTAGCCTGGCAGAACCACGCAGTCCCGCGGCCTCGCTTTGGGAAGGACAACGCACACACACACACACCCACACTAACATAATTAACTCCTGGTTTAATTCTTTTCTAGCACGTCTTCAAGCCAGATTTCTGAAAAGACACCTTCCAAAAAGGATTAAAGCAGAAGTTAATTCCACACATCCCACACCATATCATAACCATATCATACAATTCACTCCTGATTTAATTCTTCTACGAAGGGACACCAGAAAATCAGCTACTAGAAAGAATAACTTAATTCTTTTGAACTCCTGTTCTCACACTCTTCCAATACAGTTCTGCTTCCTGCCTTTGTGCAAGAACATCCTCACAATTGTCAGGTTTGAGTATTTTGTGGACATCATTGTTTAGGAGTTTGATGACACATTGTTGGCAGGACGCGCCACCTGCTCAGCTCGAGGAGAAACCTGCCTCAATCGCCCCACCAGCAGAGCAGCTGCGAGAGGCATCCCAGGCACATGCCCCAATGTTGGAGACATCATCAGCATTTCACAACTTTTTCCTTAAGCCTTATGGCTTGAGGAAGACAGAAAGTCCTTTGTATTGCCTCTGTATGAGATGTTTTTCCTGAAACGCAGTTGTTGTCCTCGCTTTCCTTCAATGCTATCTTGTCAAGGGAGTGCAGGCACGCCGCGGCGTGATCCGCTTCCTCTATCTTGTGGTTGACCTTGCCGAGGCCAGGCCCTGGCCGCCAGGGACAGTTGCAAGTTGTATCTTGCGTGTTCGTTGCCTTTTGATGGATGGAAGCAATGGCCTCCAACCTAATAGCAATGGCCTCCAACCGAAGGTGATATATGATATAATGTAAAAACAAGTGCAGAACAGCTCGTAGGCCGCGCTCCGTGAGCGGCGCTGGGAGCTCCTGGTGCAGCAAAGCAGCCAGTTTGCTGAACGCTTTGTCACCGAGAACCCGCAGCTTCGTCACTGAGGGGAATGGTCGGAATGGCCTAATCGTTATATGTGTCGAGCCTTTGGTATTTAGTACTGTTTTCAGTGCGGCTACAAAGCACGGACATTCAAGACATTTGTGCTTCTCATGTGTGAATAGGTCAGAAGCGGCCCCAAGATGCAGTTGTCAAAGACTCTCAGTTGTAAGGCTCTCGGAGTTGGGACTTCTAGCCTTGCGTGATGCCAGCTGTGAGGCCTGTAGAGTTCACAGTGCCAGAACCTACTGCATCGAAATTGAACACATCCCAGTCATTTGTGGTTCTTTGCAGTGGCTTAGCCCGTTGCTGCAACAGTTGACATTGAAGGATTTGCGAGTGATGCTGAATAGGTCTTAGGCCTTTTGATAGAAGACCTTTTTTGCTCGGTTGTGAAGACTCTTCCTCAAACTGGAGGCTTTGGCACCGCTTGGGACGGCTTTCACTGCAGCCAAGCTGAATGCCATAGCAAAGGAGGCATGGAGCTTTGCGGAAGACTGGACTAAGAACGGGTCTATTGTGATCGATGCGTTCCTGGGACACGATCCCGCCGATCACTGTGGCATATGCAGTAGTTTCTATGTCATTTCCAAAGGAGGCTTTGCCGCATTTACTGCCTGTCGATTTGATTTGAATGATAATTACATACATACTCCGATTAGATATTGTTTCTTCACGATAGCTTGAATTTAGATGCGAGAGGTTCATGCAGCTTTGCGGACAAGAAAAAGCAATTCCAGGACAAAATCGGTCTTCGTTTTAGTGAAGCCCCTCCCCGACTCCCCGTTGCACTAGGCGAAGGGCCGCTGTTGCGCTGTTGCCGCCTTGCAGCGAGCCCTTCAGGGGCTTCAAGACGTACCTTCGTATGGCGTGCGTGAGGTGCTGGTTCGGAGCCCAGCTTCGAGGTGATAAAACATCTAAAGAAAATCTTCAACATCTAGAGAACATAGATACACTGATATACAATGATACACAATGTATCACAATGTATCACACTGTCACTGTGCTTTAAGAACAAGGGTAGATACTTTCGGGCTGTTGGCCATATTTTTGGGGAACACACTGAACTCGGAGCCATTTGCCTAGGTCGGCGACCAGTGTTGTGTAGGCTCATTGATTGCAGACAGAACCTGGCAATACAAGCTTGGTGTGCGTCTTGTTAGACGAGCACTAGTGACAAAGGGCATCGCTACTAGGAGCAAGAAGCTACTAGGTGGAAGTTCACACATCGGCTCCTTGATCGACTGCTCTCGAAGTAATTATGGATGCAATCTTGAAAAACAAGGGACGTCTGATACGCTGCCCTGCAACTCGTTTTTGGGGTTGTTTTCTTGTCTGTTGATTTGTGTTGGCATTTACAATAGTTTTGTTTTAGCAGTGTCTTTGCCGGTGCATTAAATTATATACCCACGTTTTCCCAAGGAAGATGCTTGTGTCGAGCGTTTCGCTAAGAAGTGTGAGAGAACAATTCGGAACGGTGTTCTTGAAAGTCTGATGATAAGTGATCTGCGGTCATCCAAAAGTTCAGCCCAAAGTTCTTTCGTTGATAATTGTTCAACTCAACACAGACTTTTTTCACTTAAACAACCTGCAGAAAAGTGCTCTTCCTTCGACTTGAAGGTCATTATGGTACTTACAGTAGACTTTGATGTTGCATAGAAGCAAATGTGATTGAAAGAAGTACGTTGTAATACACAAAGTAAAACACAGTGAGGTACGTATAACCGTATAACTGCATCCCCACCCCACCCCACCCCACCCCACCCGACAACCGAACCACGACGTACGTGACAGGCGCAAGGGCGGCGTATCAGCTGCGAACCTAATACATACAACAACAAGTTATTAAGGCAGAGTCCTGCTGCAGTAGCTTCCGCGCCCATGGCAAAAGATCACGAAGTGACCAGCATGTTCTTCTTTAAGGCAAAGCCGAAGGTCAAGATTGCTCACACTCTGACATTGGTTTGCAGTTAACTCAATTCCCAGGAAAAAT